TGCGCTTGGCAACATGGTTGCGAAGTTTGCAAGTGGTTGCACGAGTATCGTCGATCTCGTTTTCTTCGTCATTGTCGACGAGAGGAAGAATGGGTTTGTCAACGCATGCTTTCCTTGAGCCATCTTCATGGTGAAGGAATAGGTTGAGGGTAGCTGAAAGCTGTTGTGTTTGTTAACAAAATGCACTACGCTAAAAGCTAGTGTAAAGATCTTTCGAGTGTTTTGAGTTTGAGAGAATGAAAGTTATGAGAGAGATTAGAAAGCTATGAAAACTAATCAACGAGAGAGATCATCATCAAGGGATCGTAGATCTGGCCTCCCGCGGGAGACTATAAAGTGTGATAGAGTAGGTGCGCGCCCTAGAGGTGCAGAATTCTGACGCCAACAAACTGACGCCGACGGAGTCGCCCTAGAGGTGCGGAATTTCTGCCGCCGAGGTGCGCGCCCTAGATGTGCAGGATTCTTACGCCAACAATTGCCATCTTAGGAAAGATTTGCTTCTAGTTGGGGCTCCCATAACAGTCTAGTTTGAATTGGATTTTCCTATTCTCTTTTTGCTAATAGCTAAGGCCGGTCTATTCAATCGTTCGATTGTTTGCACCTCTACTATCGTTTGCACCTCTACTCTATCAACTGTTTCGCGATGCTCTGATAGTGAGGAGGCTGTGCAATGAGGCTGATGCGGTAATCCTGTTGGAATTTGTTATCCAACTCGGTGGCATGCAGTCGTATTGTTTCCTGTTGGATTTGCTGTTCTTAAAGAGGCTTTAGTTGGTACATTCACTCACCGACTAACCAGCCTCGCTTTAGTCGGTGAACCAACATTTCGACTAAAGGCTTTACTCCGTATGACGTTTAGTCGCTTGGGTAGACACCACCCCAAGAGGCTAAACTATGGACTAAACTACAAAATATGGCTTAGTCGCTACTTTAGTCGCTCCGGTAGAGACCGGCCTAAGGATTTCAACAAATATTAGCATTGATCTGTTCTTTGATGATACGAGCCATGAGCCATACAAGCTGATTGCTGGGAATGTTTGAGAGGAAAGCGACCTCGATATATGCTGCTATTAAAGTATGTTTTGGCAATCTTGAGCAATGTATAGCTACAAGTTGTGAAATCTTGCTCGAATTATTCGGGGAGGGATAAGCATATTGTGAGCCGACCTCAAGAGAAGCTGCTATTAGCGTTTAGAAGCACACAATTATAACACACACACACTCACACAATATCACACATCTCACACAGCACTCACGTACACACACGTACACACACGTACACACACACATCTCATACAACACTCACGTACAGATTGACAGTGAACCTGCCTCTGACTCCCAACAGATCAAGGATCTGGTCAAGAAAATGGTACAGGAGGAACTGAAACAGACCCAAAAGCAAATTGCCAGAGCCACTGGCAAACATGTCACCCAAGCGCTCAACCAACAGCGCAACAACAATCAAAACAACGACAGCTCAAAAAACAACAGGAGGGGCCCAGCCCAGGGAGGCGCCTCCAGCAAAAAAAGAAATCTCCCACCAACAACAGTCTGCCAGAGGCGGCAGAACCCAACGAGGAAGGTCCCAGTCCGCCCCAAGAGGCAACCGCCCAAGAAGCCAAAGCAGAGCCGCCAAGGCGGCCGCGGCGGCAGGGCAGGACGAGGAAGGGGAGGAAGAGCCGGAGGAAGAGGCAACGCTACCTCCAGAGGCTCCACAAGATCGACCAGAGGCCGCTCCAGAAGCTCCTCTCCCAGCAGGAGGCAGAACTCCAACACCAGGAGAAGCAGGTCCTCCAGGCGATAGACAAGGAGATAGAGCTCACATATGGCTTCATCTCAGACCCCGACCTCCATCTACACGACAATGTACAAACTAGACTCCTTCATATGCCGGCCTGGTACTACTTTGCCAGGCCAACCAATCTTGAATACCACGACCTTACCACGACAATTAAGCCCCCACCAGGCCTCTACTCACTGTTGGGCCCTCCCACACTTGGAATGACATCGAATCAAGCACCCTCACCAGGTTCTCCAGGGACCTGAGGGTGAAAGCCTTCTGTATTGGCCACATGCAGGAGGACAACACAGACAATAACAATAGCAGTGATGAATACAATCCACGAATGCATCTGCAGTCTGACTGGCTCCCACAGCCCATATGGTGCCCACTCCAGTCATAGACCAGCGCCTTCAGCGCTTCAGCAGCTTCCTCCAGAGCAAATTCAGCCGGAAGAAGAGAGGCAGAGCCAACCTTCTGCCCCACCAGCGGCGTGCCCTCTGCCAACTCAGACGCAACAATGCCCTTATGGTCGTCCAATGTGACAAGAACCTGGGCCCAGCGACAATTGAACGGCATGCCTACATTGAACATGCATTCCGCGACCACCTTGATGATGAAGCCACCTATGAATTCATCCCACCCCACAAGGTTGAGCACTACAAAGACAAAGTGAAACAGCGTCTCCTGAAGTGGCTCAAGAACTATGGCAGCACTGCCTGCACTGACAAGGAGAGAAAATTCCTCAAAGCTATGATGAAGAAGAATGAGGAACCATTTGCTTATTTCTACTTGACAATGAAAGTCCACAAAACACCCCTCAAAACCAGGCCCATTGTCTCCTACAGTGGCAGCCTGCTGGAGGGGCTGGGCATCTGGCTTGACTCCAAGCTTCAGCCAGTTGCTCAGTCAATGAGATCCTACCTGAAAAGCTCCTTCGATCTCAAACAGGAGCTCATGTCCCTGCAGCTACCACCCCACTGCAAACTCTTCACAGCTGATGCTTCCTCAATGTACACCAACATTCCCACGAGGACAGCCATCACCAAGATCTCAAAGTGGCTCAAAGACAACCAAGAACAGTTCCCAGACCTGCCCACCAAGGCAGTCCTCAAGGCACTGATTCTCATTATGGAGTGGAGCTTCTTCCACTTCGGTGACACCACATGGCGGCAACTCAAGGGCACTGCAATGGGAGCCCCACCAGCCCCACCCTATGCCACCATCTACTTTGCCATCCTGGAGTCCATTCTGCTTCGATCCTTCATGGATAGTCTTGCAGTTCTGCAGCTCTACAGGAGATACATCGATGATGTCTTCGGCATATGGCACTGCCGAATGGAAGACAACCAGCTCCTGTGGGAGGGCTTCCAAAAGGCAATGAACAACAATGAGTACAAGCTGCACTGGGAGTTCACTGAACTCTCCAGTCAGGTGGATTTCATGGACATGACAATCACCCTCACACATGACAACAAACTGGTCACCACACTGTATGAGAAACCAACCAACTTGTATCTCTACATCCCATCCCACTCCTGTCACCCACCAGGCCTCCTGTCTGGAGTGGTGTATGGCAACCTCTTTAGGATCTATACACTCTGCTCTGAGGAGACTGACAGGCTCGCCAGGACCAAGCTCTTCTTCAAGAGGCTCCTGGCCAGGGGCTACCAAGCCACCACAGGCCCTAAGCTCAGAATTTGGAAATCAGCAAGCAATGGTATACCCCATGGATAAACATCCAAATGGTAGATTCGTCGTAGATTAACTCTTAGTAGTGTCTACACACATCTCACACAACATCACACATCTCACACAACACTCAACGTACACACACCTACACACACATTCTCGTGTCGAGAAAGGATCTGTCGTCCCAGAACCACAAAACGCCATTTCAGCCCCTTCGAACACCAAACGAAGGCGCAACCACACTTTGAAGGTCTGAACCTGACTCAAGAGTACTCATTATATCAAGGGTATATCCAGTTGGTTCTCCTTCGAACCCCCAAAGCATCATTGTCGCCCGATCGATAGACTACTTCGTACAGCGAAAAAGAGGTACGGAGCGAAAAAGATACGAACTCTTGGCTCCTTTCGAATCAATCGAGTCGAATCGAATCAACCGAATCGAACGCACCTCTACGTACTGCACTAGTACGTCACTCGGAATCAACCTCGAACGCACCTCTACGTACGTCACTCGGAACACGTACGTCACTCGGAACTCGGAACGAATTGTTCCACGGAATTCCTGTGAAACACGACTGAACACCTTGGTTTTAAGATAATACGTATCTTTGATCCGAGCGAGTTTTCGAGCGAGTTTTCGAACATACCAACCAACCAAGGTCTAGCCACACTATTAAGGCAACCAACCAACACGGTTACAGACAACAATATCAATAGTAACACTAGCAACAATGCCTGAGGCAAGAATTGAGAGAGTTCCCATCCTTCGCAATGGTGGTCGTGGCAGAGGCCGCGGCCGCCGCAACTCCAATGGCGGCAACACCAGCGCCAACCGGAACAACAACCAGCGCGAAGATGATGGCTCCCCCAGCAGGAAACGAACTGCCTTTGATCCATCCGCGATCAATCCTCAGACATACCAATCCGATGCAACACAAAAGGAATCACGAGTGGCCCCACTGCAAGCCGCCCTGAATTTCCTACATGGCACCACTGCGACGCTCCATGAGGCATACCACCGTACCGTCAACAAAGTAGGAGAGGAATTTATCAAAGCCTTTGCGGCACACCAGCGCAACAAGGACACTCTCGACGGTATGATTGATGGCAACAACCAAACCGGGGAATTGACCCCGTCCCGGATTCCGAAATCAGTCGATATCAAATTCGAACTGAAGGCTGGCAACCCAGCAATGGAGAGCGATGCGAGCTTCCAAGCTCTCCAACAAGAATCCACACAAGCTGTTGAACTCTACAAACAAACCCAAGCAAAAATTCTCATTCGAAAGAAACAACTGGACGTCCAATATGCTCAAAAGGCCGTAGCCGAGTCCCTGGCTAGAGGCCTTCTGCCCATTGCCAATGGCCACAAGGTCATCTGCGGCAGAGAGAATCTCAATGGCCATGCAATTGTCAACACCATCCTGGAGGCACACCACGAGGTGCTGCTCAAACACACTGGCATTGACCTAGCAACATTTAGAACAATATACATTAACGTCCAAGGTCTCGCAACCCTGCCTGATCCATTACCAGTAATTGATATTCAGCAACAGCCTCAGCCACCTGTGGCACCTGCTCAGCCAACAACACATGCGCCTGTCCAGCCAGCAGAACCCCCGGCTCCCCACCTGCAGGGGCCCTATTCCATCGACCAACTGACTGCTGTCTCCAGCCACAGCGACCTCGAGGCCACCCAGGAGCACATCCAGCGATGCCTAGCACGAGGCGCTAGTGCCGAGTCCTTCGAGGACTACAATGAAGCCAAAGAGAGAGCACAGTCTCAGCTGGAACAAGACCATGACGCAGCAATTACCTACAAACTAGCAATGGAAACATATCAACAGGCACTGGCACAGTACCAAACCCAATGGAATCAACATCAGCAGGAGCTCCAGCAATACCAGCAGGCCCTCCAGCAACACCAGCAGGCACTGCAGCAGTTCCAGCAGCAGATACAACAATATCAGCAACAAGCCCAGCAGCCCTCCATCCCAGAGTTGGCCAAGCTGGAGAGACTCATCACCAGTGTCTTCTGCACACCCATTGACCAGTACCAGCACCAATCCTCAAACAATGTCAAGTCCCTTGCTCTCAAGAAGCTACACAAAGAGGCCTTCACAACCAAGGCCACAGAGGACACTGCAATGGAGATTGACAGTGAACCTGCCTCTGACTCCCAACAGATCAAGGATCTGGTCAAGAAAATGGTACAGGAGGAACTGAAACAGACCCAAAAGCAAATTGCCAGAGCCACTGGCAAACATGTCACCCAAGCGCTCAACCAACAGCGCAACAACAATCAAAACAACAACAGCTCAAAAAACAACAGGAGGGGCCCAGCCCAGGGAGGCGCCTCCAGCAACAAAAAGAAATCTCCCAACCAGCAGCAGTCCGCCAGAGGCGGCAGAACCCAACGAGGAAGGTCCCAATCCGCCCCAAGAGGCAACCGCCCAAGAAGCCAAAGCAGAGGCCGCCAAGGCGGCCGCGGCGGCAGGGCAGGACGAGGAAGGGGAGGAAGAGCCGGAGGAAGAGGCAACGCTACCTCCAGAGGCTCCACAAGATCGACCAGAGGCCGCTCCAGAAGCTCCTCTCCCAGCAGGAGGCAGAACTCCAACACCAGGAGAAGCAGGTCCTCCAGGCGATCGACAAGGAGATAGAGCTCACATATGGCTTCATCTCAGACCCCGACCTCCATCTACACGACAATGTACAAACTAGACTCCTTCATATGCCGGCCTGGTACTACTTTGCCAGGCCAACCAATCTTGCATACCACGACCTTACCACGACAATTAAGCCCCCACCAGGCCTCTACTCACTGTTGGGCCTGGGCCACAAGTTCATTCCTACACCTAGATACTCCCACACTTGGAATGACATCGAATCAAACACCCTCACCAGGTTCTCCAGGGACCTGAGGGTGAAAGCCTTCTGTATTGGCCACATGCAGGAGGACAACACAGACAATAACAATAGCAGTGATGAATACAATCCACGAATGCATCTGCAGTCTGACTGGCTCCCACCAGCCCATATGGTGCCCACTCCAGTCATAGACCAGCGCCTTCAGCGCTTCAGCAGCAGCTTCCTCCAGAGCAAATTCAGCCGGAAGAAGAGAGGCAGAGCCAACTTCTGCCCCACCAGCGGCGTGCCCTCTGCCAACTCAGACGCAACAATGCCCTTATGGTCGTCCATGTGACAAGAACCTGGGCCCAGCGACAATTGAACGGCATGCCTACATTGAACATGCATTCCGCGACACTTGATGATGAAACCACCTATAATTCATCCCACCCCACAAGGTTGAGCACTACAAAGAAAAGTGAAACAGCTCTCCTGAAGTGGCTCAAGAACTATGGAAGCACTGCCTGCACTGACAAGGAGAGAAAATCCTCAAAGCTATGATGAAGAAGAATGAGGAACCATTTGCTTATTTCTACTTGACAATGAAAGTCCACAAAACACCCCTCAAACCAGGCCCATTGTCTCCTACAGTGGCAGCCTGCTGGAGGGGCTGGGCATCTGGCTTGACTCCAAGCTTCAGCCAGTTGCTCAGTCAATGAGATCCTACCTGAAAAGCTCCTTCGATCTCAAACAGGAGCTCATGTCCTGCAGCTACCACCCAACTGCAAACTCTTCACAGCTGATGCTTCCTCAATGTACACCAACATTCCCACGAGGACAGCCATCACCAAGATCTCAAAGTGGCTCAAAGACAACCAAGAACAGTTCCCAGACCTGCCCACCAAGGCAGTCCTCAAGGCACTGATTCTCATTATGGAGTGGAGCTTCTTCCACTTGGTGACACCACATGGCGGCAACTCAAGGGCACTGCAATGGGAGCCCCACCAGCCCACCCTATGCCACCATCTACTTTGCCATCCTGGAGTCCATTCTGCTTCGATCCTTCATGGATAGTCTTGCAGTTCTGCAGCTCTACAGGAGATACATCGATGATGTCTTCGGCATATGCACTGCCGAATGGAAGACACCAGCTCCTGGGAGGGCTTCCAAAAGGCAATGAACAACAATGAGTACAAGCTGCACTGGGAGTTCACTGAACTCTCCAGTCAGGTGGATTTCATGGACATGACAATCACCCTCACACATGACAACAAACTGGTCACACACTGTATGAGAAACCAACCAACTTGTATCTCTACATCCATCCCACTCCTGTCACCCACCAGGCCCCCTGTCTGGAGTGGTGTATGCAACCTCTTAGGATCTATACATCTGCTCTGAGGAGACTGACAGGCTCGCCAGGACCAAGCTCTTCTCAAGAGGCTCCTGGCCAGGGCTACCAAGCCACCACACTTAGGCCCCTTTTTGAAGCAGAAATCACCAGGGCAAGGCCTACACTGGCCCCCAGCCACAACACACAAGAGGGACACCATGGGAATCCAGCTGCTGCACCTGGAATACCACCCCAAGGATCCCCCATCAAAGGTCTTCCACAAGGCTGGAGGGATTGCATTGCCAACCCCACGAACCTGATGCCCTTCAAGCATGTCCGATCCCACACACAGTGGGCCCCATGCGAGGCAACATGCCAATGGGACTGGATAGGATATTGTAGCCCTCCAGGCCCCCCAATCTGGCAACCTACTGTCCTACAGGAAGGTTCCAGACTTAGATGGCTCCCCCGTCTCATCCCTTCTGGATTAGAGGCTTGTCGGGGAGCAATGGCACACACACCCACACACCTACACACACACACACACACACACACACAACCACACACATCCAGCCCATCGAGGTATGGATTTACGGTTTAGTTTAGTTGGTTTCGGTCTATACCGACCAGCCCTATGTGTCTATTTTCGAAATCACCACTAACAGGGTACCCTTGCTTTTCTCACAGCCTACCCGGCTTGTATCTTTTGCCATCCCCAGCTTGCTCCACTGATGAAGCAAACAGCGAAATCTTAAGCTCAGAATTTGGAAATCAGCAAGCAACGGTATACCCCATGGATAAACATCCAATGGTAGATTCGTCGTAGATTAACTCTTAGTAGTATCTACACACATCTCACACAACATCACACATCTCACACAACACTCAACGTACACACACCTACACACACACACACAAGATAAAGTTCAAAAGGCCCTCAGCTTGCTAGCTAGCTGGTAGTTGAGGGCAATTCGTTCTTGCCTTCGGTTGTTCATGCCGACGCGGTGTCATTGGTTTTGCGTCAATCGACTCGACTCCTTGAGTCGATTTCCCTTCAGTCCAAGGCGTTGACCGTAGAGAGATGGTGGAGTGTAACTGTTTTTTACTAGTAAAATACGCGACGAACATTCTGGACCTGACACCACCCCATAAGCCAGTGAAAACGCTTACATACGCCAGGGGCCGCATAGAGTACCGATAGCCGGCCGGGAGTTGCAGAATGATTGCAGCAAGGCGACCATCGTGTTGACTGTCACTCAAGCGAAACTGAAGGAACTAGTACGGCACTGGAAAGAGAAACTTACCTCGACCTTGTCCAAACATCATCATATCATATCATGAATCAACAACATCTTATCCCTCATCAAACATCACCAAGAGGCTCTTTCAAAAAAAGGAGTGATGTACGATCTAGCCTTTGCGGAGCTTTGCGTCCAAACTGGGGTCAATCCAGTGAATCATGGCGAATTTGAAGATGCTGCGAGCCAACTAACTTCGATTAGCAACCGTGGAGACACCGGATTATATCGGTGCCCAGTCCTTGCCATTCAGCGTAGTCGCCGAGGTGGAAAGACTTTTATGTTGCATGCCGTTGCAGGTATTCTGCGAGAAAATGACGTCGAGGAAAACATCTACATGGTGCTGCTCATCTCGCTAAACGGCGACACGAAATACGACTGCAGAATCGAGCCAGATGCGCGTAGAGCATTCCTTTTGCGAATTGCGTATCGTTGGGAATGCAGCAAGGGCTTCGAGAAGAGTTTCCGTGAATTCCAGTGTGGATATGCTAGTAATTTTGACTTGAGTCCGATCCAATCCAGAGCTGGCTTGAAAGAAACAATGCGATTGTTCTCATCGACGAGCTCAATGTAATCGCACCCGAATCACATGGCTATGCGGAAATGAGTCATATGCTCGATGGCTTGGCGGGCCGAAAGGGGAGCGCCGTGATGTATTCTACTCACCACAGGAGCGCCGCCGATATCTTACGCGGTCGAGACCGAAATGGCCAATATCAGCTTTCGACGCGAAGCCACAAATTTTTGCCAATGCCTCGAGTGAGAAACAGAACTTGTCTGAATGGGTTGGTACAGATAAATGCGCCATATGACCCCAAGCTCTGGGTCGCAGTTTTACGAGGACGCATACCGTGCTTGATTTTGCAGGATCAACTAGCTGATTACTCTACTATATCATTTGAGAGAGAAGCCAAGGCGAGAATGGATCTAGTAGAGAAAGTCAACATTTACTCACTTGCAGGACAAGATGCCTTGAAAGAAGAGACATTACTCAGGCGAATCAACGGTTTGACGAGCGCATTGACTGGAAGAAGCGTTGTCGAGGAGGGCTTCTTGAGAGATGAGTTCAGAGCTTACTCTTACATGTCGACACAGACAGATGGGAAGGAAATTTTCTCTACCCATGGCCTCCTTTTCTCCTTGCAAGCCCGAGTGTGCTCGGGAAAAGTTATTCGCATCTTTACGATCTTCTTCGTTCGGATAACATTGACGAAGGTAGAGGTTTCGAGGCCCTCGTCCAGCTTTCTGTATTGATTCGACTTTTGTCGTCCCAACAACATCCATTGGTCCCTCATGGGACTGATAATAGTATGTCAGTACTTGACGTGTTTGATGCAACAGAAATGTACCATGTTGACGAGACTGTGAAGACTCTCGACGGTCTCATTGAGAAGGTTACCAGCAAATTTGCTTACGCGGAGCAAGTAAAGCAAGTTGTGGTGGTCCCCTTTTTGCATCTTTTCCAATTTACGACTTTTTTGTGTTTCACAAGAAGAATGTCCAAGGAAAGTTGGTATGGTCGCCAGAAGTCGGCTACCAGTGCAAGTATGGCGACGAACAACCTGATGAGGACGAGAAGTACACGGCGTGGAAGAAGGTTAAGAAATCGATTTGGATCGGAGGTTTGTGCAAGCAGTACCGTGTCAATCCTGACACTGGGGCTCGTGTTTCCCAGAAAGGAAAAAATAATGGGTGGATTTTGATGGCAAGAGACACACAGGTTGACATGTTAGGAGTTTCAATCTCAGAAGCTTTGCCTGAACAGACAGCAGCAGATCTAAATGCACCGCCATGCGAAAAATGCGCCGCTGAAGAGAGTGTGCTGCAACGCCAAGAAGAGGCGACTCAAGGGACAAAGAGGCAGAAGCTCGCGACCTTTCCCGCTCACTAAATGAGCATGAGCGGGATTGCATACCGCAAACTGAATTATTTTATGTTCGTTGGGATAGACGGTGATGTCGGAGGGGACCGAGGTTAATTCGACTAAGTAATTCAGTGGTACATCTGTACATGAAGCCTATGCTTCTGTTGGTCGTTCACAGTCTGAATTTTGATAGTATCAGACTTTTTTATTTTATTTTAGAGAATGTAATTCCGATACTAGCTAGTCCAGAGTAGCGACTATTTGGTGTTCATGCCGACGTGTTGTCATTGGATTTTGCGCTGTGCTGACCGACTGGCGGCTTCGCATCCGTGAGTGAAGCAGTCCTGGATCCAACCCATCTTTCGAATCAAAGCTCCATTCTATTGCTCCTGTTGTTGTTTGTCTTTTTTGAGTAGCAGAGCTTCAATCAATCATCATTCCACCATGACGACCAGCCGCACCGAAAAAGTGTATGTGTTATTTGGTTCTCAGACGGGCAATTCGGAAGAATATGCCAAGACGTTTGCCGACGAATTGCCCGACAAGTTGAGCCCTGCTGCCATTCAAAAACTAACGGGAAACTCGGATGTGGAAATCACGCTGCAACCAAAGACGATGCAATTGGATGATTTTTTGGAAATTCAAAAAGCCGATTGGACTCGTTTGGTGGTCATTTTCGTGTCATCCTATGGTGTGGGGCAAGCTCCCTTGGGATGTTATCGATTCCGAGATCTCTGCGATGCGTGGAAGGACCGCAATGCTGCGAACGTATTAGATGGTGTCCACTATGCTCTGTGTGGATTGGGTGATTCCTCGTACACGACATTTTTTGAGAACCCCACCAAATTGGACCAAGCCATGACGCAGGTGGGTGCCACACGTGTGGGAACCCTCGCCAAGGTCGATGCCCAAGGGACCGGGGATGATGCACAAGCACCCGTCATGGAACGTTGGAAAGAAGGACTCTGGAAATCGTTGGCGGAAGTAGTCGTCACAACACCTCCCTCTCCAGAACAACTCCAACAAATGCAACAAACCACAATCGAATTGTGTCTCGAAATCAATCCGGAATTTGAAATGCCCGAAACGGCCACCTCCACAGAGGCTTCATCCAATAAGGGTGGCAAAACAGATTTGATGACCATGTTGATTGTGCCACTGGTCTTGGCACTGGTGGCTCAGGTGGTCTACTATTTCTACTCCACGCAATAAATATCAATCTGTAGAGTAAAGTTTCAGTTTATCAAGGTGACAATCCCCCAAAATTGATGCCTCCATTGATGCTGTATGGTTGGTTTGGGCACCAAAGTTCAATCTATTTCATGTTGCCCTACGACAATCTCAGAAACCTCTTTAGCCACTCTTTGTACTACTACGGCTGGAGAACTACTAGCTAGCTACAAAAGGTTGGGACAAACAAGTAAAAGTGATGTCATTACCTTCCCTAATACTAGTAGAACCCGGCTACAACGTTACCCCAAATCTCAGATCGTATGCCACAGACCATTGACTGCAAAAGTAGCTAAGGGAGTGAATCAATTTATCCTAACGAAGGCCAAGAAATGGGGGGTTTAACCATGATTCTACACCGGGAAAAAGGAAACAGGCTTGGTGGGAATTCTCTACTGCCGGCGCGGCAACACCAGAGATCTGTTAGAGGGAAAACACAAACTGAACTGGAGCTCATCTCCATGGCCAGCGATAGCTATTGCAGCCGTCGTTGGCACAAAAAGAACACTTGTCAAGAGACGATGAGCAATGACGATTGAATTCAAAAGCACGACGAGCAGCTTCATCTTTGGAAGTCATGAATGTGAACTTATCGAATACAAATTGCCAGACTCTCTTGGCTTCTTGGATGAAACAGCGGACGGTCAACTGCTACCGGTAGCCACCACAATTTCCCACATCTGGTTACGTCAGTTAGTTGAGCAGTCGAAAACCCTTGTTTTGGGCATTTTGCTGAAGCGCATCCCTGAACTCCGCAAATCCCTCCAGGCGGTTTGGCATTCCCAGTTCCAGAGTGCACAGATTGGGGCTGGCTTTCACAAGCTTCAACAGTATGTTGTGCAATTTGTCGGTGATCTCAAACTCGCTCCACGCCAGTTTTACCCTCGTCAGTCTAGGTGGTGTTTGGTCGTGACGATCAATCAGGGTTGTCACAAGTTTGTCCAACCCATCCAAGTCCAAAGACGTAGAAAAGGTGCTGAGGCAAGTCAAGTTCGCCTTTTGGAGTGCTGGGCTCAGAATGGAGAAGCCTTCATTGCCAATCGCCTTGTTGTTTTCCAATCTCAAATGTGTCCATTGGACCGAATCTTGTGCAGCAGCGTCTGCCAATGCTCGACATGCCGGCACCCCGAGATTGCATTTGGATAGGTCCAAGAAGCGCATCCGAACAAGCACGGGGGCCATAGCTTGTACACCCTCATCGCCCAAATCTGTTTCAGGCAGCTCCAAAATTCGCAGAGCAAAGAGTGCTGCCAATCCTCTGGATAATGCCTGGCACGCCTCGAGGTTCAATTTGACTCCACTCAGAGTTACGTGTCTCAGCACTTGCGGCGTGAAGGGACCGCAAAAGGCGTCTGCCAATGCGCTACACCCTTCTGTTCCCAGTTGATTGCCATTCAAGTTGAGAATCTCCATTTGAGGAGTGAAACCTTTACCAATAATATCTGCGACTTCAGTCACCATTTGGGCATCCCACTTGAATCCGGCATAATCAAGTTTGCGCAATCTGCCAAGAATAAAACCAAAGCTCCTACTGTACAAATCGGAGACCCTAGGATAGTCACTTTTGGCATTGGTGAAGGACTTTTGCAGCAGTCGATCCTTCATCTTTTCCGGTGTCAATGGAGGTGGCATGAACATGAAACTTTTACCGTTCGTCGCTTCTTTACGCTGATGCTCATCGTGGAAAAGATTCAGCACTTTGCCGCTTGACTTGGCCACACTCATCCAACAGCTTTCCACAAACGGCCAACCGCGATCCATGTATTCGGCCACATTGGCTCCCTGAGGTAGATTGTAATCTTCTGGGTAGTCTGTTGGTCTGGTGGTGAGGCGCAGGCAGCTTGTTTGCGGATGGGAATACAGCAACGGCAAGGCATACAGTCCTTGTTGAAAGAGGCGGTCTTCTTCGGGCGTGCGATAGACACCCTCCGATTGCTGTGGGTGCTGATACAAACAGGCATAGTCCCAGAACAGTCCCCATCGAGGCGGAAAGTGATTGACAATATTGAATCGATTTTCACAAGCATTGGCCACGGCTCGCAGGGTAACGCCTTTGGGGTCTGGATGATCTGAATGCAACCACGAGTAGCTCAAGGCATAAATATGAATGTGGGCATCTTGCCGGTTACCATTGAGAGAGTCAGTGGAGGTGGAATCGCGAATCTTGTCCAATGATATAAATGCCTCGGGATGGAGCTTCTCTAGCTCTTGCCGAGGAGGCAAAATGGGAAACATTGGACCATCGGAGTACTTGGCATATTCTATGAGCCAGTGGACATCCAATAGCACAACCGCTCCATTTTGGAGAGCGGGTTCGAGGTCCGCTGCTCCCACTGCCTGCCAAACCATGCGGGAACGTTCGACTTTGGCTGGATTGGCGTCATGCTGGGCAATCTGTTTTTGATGATAGGCCTTGCTTTTGGCCCACTTTTCTTGCATAATTGCTTTGCGTTCTTCAAGTGGCTTGGCTTCCCACGCAACCTTTTCGGCAGCACGCTTTTCCTCAAGTTTACGATTACACTCTTCCAATTCCTTTTTTCGTTCTTCTTCTTCCTTTTCGATTTCCTCCTTACTCTTCTTCAAAGAAGCGCTGCTTCTTCCAACAAACAATCTGTTGCCTTTGAGCCACACGTCTGTTGCGTATTGCTTCGCTTGGTTTCTTTTAGCAATTATAGCTTTTGCCTGTTGATCCAGATTCATTGCTTCTTTCTCGTCTCCTCTTCTTGCTGCAGCTGCTGCCCTTGTCATCAGCAGAGGAACATTAGCCTGTTCTGCCTCTTCCACAAGTTTCGTTGCTTCCCGGTGGTCTCCTTTCATTTCAGCAGCCATTGCCCGTGCCATGATCAGATAAAAATCCTCACCGGTTGCAGAATCCAAAAGCCTTTTGGAATGCGGACAGGCCTTGCTGAGTTCTTGTTTTACTTTTTGCCCCCAGTTGGTTGCTTCTTCCAGATCTCCTCTCATTGCAGCTGCATTTGCTCTCGACAGTAGAAGCTCAATATTTGCAGCTTTTATTTGTTCCTCCAGTTTCTTGGCTTCTCCCTGGTCTCCTCTCTCTGCCGCTGCTTCCAATGCCAATTTCAGATGATCAACGATTGCTTCTTTGGCTTGTTCATCCAGTTTGATTGCTTCTAGGAAATCTCCTTTATCTTTACCAACTCTTCCCCCTGCCATCAGCAAATGCTGAATGATTTCTTTTGCTTGTTCCTGCAGTTTTGCTGCTTCTTCAAGCCTTCCTCTCCTTGCAGCAGCTTTTGCCCTGTACAACAGTAAGTGAACATTCTCGTGCGCCTTGGCAATGTTGGGGTCTTTGGATTGTGAAGTGGCATTGCTGCTGCTTGCAGAACCCATTTTCAAAGGCAAATCAGAGCACGGGCAAAGAAAGAGACACTGGAGTGAGTCTCTCTGAAGCTTTAGCTAGCCACGCTGTACTAGTAGTTGGTTTGTCGGGGATACAAAAGGGTGTCCTATTCCAGCACAGTTCGAAGCAATGTCATGGTGTTGCCCTCTGCACTCTGAGAGAACCAAAGATGAAAGATCCGTTCTGGATCCGTTCCAAGATCCGTTTCGGCTTGGTTTTCCAGACACGCGTCGTTCATGACTTGATTGTTCGTGGAGGTTCTTGAGAAAAACAACACGACCACCATGGCGCTGCTCCCTTCTCCCTTGTGGACGAGCGACCGCATAGAAACAAGTCTCCTTGCCACACTTCATATCACCTTTTCTATCCATTAGTCAATAACATGTCGTCCAATGAAGATGATGATCGCATCATGAACGATACGACCATGCCACCACCCAAAATGAAGGCGAGCAATGGCATCCAAAAGAACCCACCACGCCGCAAATTCGGTCTCCGCAAGGGATTCGGCTTGGGCGATTGGGTTCAATTGACAAAGAGCGCCAAAGACTTGGCACAACTCAAGGGAGCCCCGCTACGGAACATTACCAAGTCCGAACTACGGCAACACTGTGAGGTATACGACGGTTGGTGCGCGCTCAAGGGCAAGGTCTACAATATAGGTCCCTATCTGCCGTATCATCCTGGCGGAGAAGCCATTTTGAAAAAGGTTTTGGGAAAAGATGGAACTGCCTTATTTGACAAGTATCATCGATGGGTGAATATTGATGGATTGATTGGGAAACTGCAAGTGGGATATCTGGTGCCGGATCCAGAGAAGGAAGAAGGTACGATGAAACCACCAGCGTACATGGCTACAACTGCTAAAGAACATGAATGTAAGTGCAGGAAATTTGGCTGAAGCCGGAAGAATATGCATGGGAAGTTGGCTGTTTGCAGTTCATTTTCTTCCTCAGCATGTCTGACTCACCATGGTTTTCTCTTCATGCATGTTATGTTTGCTTGTTCTTCAGTTGCTGTTCCTGCTCCAGTTGTCAAAAAAGGCACGGCAAGGAATGTGAACAATGTACTACCCAAACCACCAGAAAGAGATGAAGATCAGGTGGAGGAAGATTACACAGAGCCGTGGGATGAACAGCCAAAGTCATAATCATTTATTTTGTGTTTTTGTGTGTGAAAGCTAGAATGAGCTAGCTACTTGCAGCTAGCGACAGGTAGTTGTAGAACAAATTGCTGGAGTGCGGCGAAGGGATACTATTAGCGTTAGGAACTGTTTTGGAGAGACAGAGAGTTGAGAAAGAAGACTTGAACAGTGGATGAGCTTCAAGCCCGCTCTCACTACTATCTATTCTATTTCTTGGGAGCTGTGGCCAATATTGCAGAGACTGTCGCCACAGACTTGTGATACATCCTAACACACGCCAATGAAGACCAAAAGACTACGGTAAAAGTAAAACTACTTTGTCTAGAATTATCCAAAAGGTCGTCTCCAGCCAGCTAGAGATGAAAATCACAGACATGCCTCTGCATTCAAAATCCAACCCATTTTTAAATGACTATGGCTCTGGATCACTACTGGTTCGAGGTTGACTAATATCCGCCACAATGGGCGATAGTGCCTTGGAGAAATCCGCCACGGTCATGCGTAGTTTCAAATGAATGTGCCCTCCTCCCATCCAGAAATATCGAAGTGGAACAATAGGTTTACTCAAAATAATGGGCACTGACGATTCCTTCATTCCAAAAGGAACCACTGCATTGTTGTCGTATCCTGTAATCCGCGCATTGTCTTCTTCGCTGGCGATACGAATGTCAAAATGAGTATCATCCAAACGATCCGCGACGGGTCGCAGCGCTCGAATGGCGTTGATCAACTTTTTCGTGTCCAATGTAGCTTCGTACTGGAGGACCACCAAGACAAAACGAGGATTGGTGGGATCGTCGCCTGTCTCGGGTGCCTTGCGATTCTCCATCAAGAGCGATTTGCACAAATAATCCGTCGAGGGGGCCTCGAGTGTTTTGGCTCGCTGCGACAATGTCCATGTGTAGTAGTCCTTGGCCACCCATTTCCAGTTGGTGCTGTAGAGGGCCTGGTGCTCTACCGCCAAGCGTGCTCGACGCATTTGCTCGTCCACAATCACATCCTCATGAGGACACGCAAAGCGCTTCTTCTCCAGGGCTTCGACTCGGTGCAAGAGGGTCGCTACTTCCGCCATGGTCGATCTTTTTTGGTTGCTCTGGAATCTGGAAGGTCCATTGATGAAGCAGTCACGAACAAGACTCGTGTCATATTAGCCATAACTCTAAAAAACTACAAGGCGAAACGACAACGGAACCGCTTCGTTGGCTGCTTTGAACTTTGAAGTCCAGGTTTGGGTTGTTCAGGATCCGGATGAGTGCTTTTACATGCAGGCTTCGCAGATCTAATACTACATGTAGGCCGTTGCTACAGTGGTACACACTATCTCTAATTCGTTTCAATGGATGCAAAAAGGATCATTACGGTAATGACTTCATCCTAGCTAGTAGCCTCGGTAGTTGGCAGCAGGCTTTAGGTCATGCACACATACATTTGCTAACTCATCACCGCAGTACATATTTTCTCTAATTCGTTTCAATGTACGGTCCATAGTGCAGGCGGAGAGAAGGAGCTTCAATTCTGCAGTTTACATGAAAGGATGGATTACTAGGCTTCAGCTTCGGCAGTTAGCAGGCTTTCGATGGATTAGCCTCTCTCTCTCTGCCTCTCCAGGCTGTGTAGCTATGTGGTAATAGTTTTACATTCTTCTATTCAGTAAGTCCTTTCCTTTGGTATACTGGGTGGGTGTGCGGTCTGCGGTGGATCAAGACAGCCATCAAGACCGTGGAACTTGACATTGTTCCAGCCAGTAGGCTACTAGTATAGGTTTCTAAAGGTGCTTTTGGTTCCTGGCCACAGCAGGTTGCCCTACTAGTGTTGCCCTTCGGCTCTCTGACCAGCAGGGAATTGCCGTGTGGAGGTTGGAGGTTGGTGGTCATCAGAGATTCGATTCTCTTGGTTGCAGATCTTTTGTTGGATTTCTCAAGGTGTTGATGTTGATGAGAAACTGAAACTGGAGTTCAACTTGCATCAACCAAACCAGCTTGGCATTGTCAATCGGTGCTGTACTGGTATTGGCATCGCCTCCGTTGTCATCGGTTGTATTAGGCTATTGACATGTAACCCTTCTTTTCAGTAGAACATAGATCACAGGTTGCTCTTGGATCTTGGTGGTACTGCTGGTGATTCCACGGATCAGGACAGCATCAAAAGACTTCTCGATCTTTGTTGCTCCGATCTCCGATGCTCCGATTGCGCTTCAGAAGCTAATGAAGGTGACAGAAACGAAGCGGGCTTCTGTGTGGGATGAAAATTTAATGGTTCCCCCTAAAACGGTCGCCTACAACAGCCATCACAAGTCACAAGCTGACCAGCAGTTTTGCAGTTTTCAGTGAGTTCTGTTCCACACCACAGTACTTCACGACGAGCGCCAAGCTGCTGTGCAATTTCATGTACCGGTACACTGTACTATTTTTAAATAGTATGCCCCCGCATTTTGTTGACCGCGACCTTCGAGTTCACCGCGAATGGCAGCTCATGTAAGTTGAGGTGCACATCAAGCCGTTCGGTCTTTTCGGACCATCTTTAGCCAGTGGAAATGGTGAAAAGGTAAAAGTTGGCAGGAGCTTCCTTTCGGAAGCAGGCCTTCGCATTTGAACTACCAGTACGATACGTGTTACCCGTACCATGGTACAACCGGTTCACACCGTTATTTATGGTTAAATAATGCAGCAAAAGTGACTGAACTCCTTTCAATTAAATTGTGTGCTCACCAGCGGAAAACCGCTCTTCTGCAGAGTGCTGAGTACTAGTAAACAGCTGCAAAACAGCCTGTAAAACACAGGGTTTCCTTTGCCTTTCTTATTCTTGCTTCTTATATCCAGTGTGGTTTCCATCGTTTTATCCCTTTAATTCGTGGAGTGTCGTGAGAGCTCCAGCAGGACTGCATACTACTAGTAGTACGTTTTGTCATCGCAGCGACTTTGACAGGTCCATCTTTGACCACCATCGTGGCTCTTTTGTACGTACGTCGATTGCGGAGTTCCCAACCAGAAAGCTCGGGTTGGGTGTTGCGGGTTGTGGGTTGGGGCAAAAACGCTAGGGTCCAAGTGTACCGGCGAGACTTCTCGTGTGAACACTGTGAACCCCGACACCTGCAACTTTAGTTTTTGAGCTAGTTTTTGGCTGTGGTCGTGGGAGTTGGGAGGTGGTAGAGTACATGTAGCTCGAGAGGATTAAAGATGTTCCTATCCTGCGGTCAAGGCGCTCAGGTAACCAGTAGGTGGTCCGCGACGGGGGATCAGCTGAAAAGTAATAGGAAGGGTACAGGCCCATTGTCATAGCTGGCTTGGTGGCAAAAGAAGAGCTACAAGTAAGGAAGGAAGTGAATTTTGTCATGTATTCGGAGAGAGCTTTTCTCATCCCAGACAACAGGCAGGGCTCCAGTGGTTGAATCAGCCACTGGGCTAAATGCGACGCCTTCGGCAGTGCTTGAAGCCAAGTAAATGCAAGAAGCGGCTTTGCAAGCTAGTACTATCGCAGTCTTGACTACACAGACGTATGTAGTAGCCTGCCACTAGCGGGTTAGGAGTTAGCTAGCTAGGTGCAGCAGAGAAAACGACTTCGGCAGGTTGCTTTCTACCGTAGCTCAAGGAACACAGTGAGCAATACTGGAGCCGATACCGTCTCCTCCAGCAATTGAAATATAAGATATTATGGAATACGTGGCTCGTCGACTGATAAAAGAAGTAAGAGCTGCTTTCTGTAGCTCTTTCTGTCATGGTGACCATCTGAGATTCGAAGAAAGGACTTTGGACTTAGCAACCTCCAATAAGCATTGACTGTTGTACCGGCACTTGCTGCGGGAGCAGCAGGATGCCTTATCAGCATCACCGTCATTTACTTGACTTAGTGACTCATCATCAAACAGCAAAACCACGAGGACTTGTAGCTACCGTAGCACCGTAGCTACAGTAGAGTGTCCATTCATGGACCTGTCAGGTTGCTGGGCGTAATCTTGCCCTGGATCCTGCAACAGTCGATGGAGGCTTTTGCTTCTCGGTGAAGATCTCTTTTTAGCTCCGGAGATGCAATGTTGGCCAACTAGCTAGAAGTGGCAACTAGCTAGCACTTTGAAGTGGTTGCCACTCTGGATATCTCGAGACCACGTCTGGGTTGCTTCTTCCTCCGAGTGTTGTCTTCTGGGCTTTTTCCTGCCAACCACTGGCTGGGTAGCTATTGGCCTTGTAGAGCTGGTTGCTGCGTGTTTGCTTTTCTCCTCCTTCTTTTGCTTGGCCACCTTCGCGAACAAGGTCTAGAGCTCGAACTGGCTACTAGCTAGTAGACTGTTTGACTGTGTAAGTGCTTTCTTTCTTTGCCTATGGTGACCGGTGGCGCGCGAGAATGCCCAAGCAAGGGATCAATGCAATGAAAGGTTGCATTGTGGTGGGAGTTAAATCAATCGTGCCTCTAGCTCCGTGTATTCCTGCATGTTCCGTTTTGAGGCGATCGAGGTTACCCTTTGCTTGCCGCCTTTCAAGTGTTAGCCAGACGCAGTCAAGAGCCCAAGAGAGTTTCCTTGCTTCTTGCTGGCTGAGGTCTGCTAGTGCTATCAAAGGTAGCAACTCCTGCCTCTCCTTCCTTGCAAGCAAGTTCCCAGTCAAGGGGACAGTCAGTACACGTAAGAGTAGGTCCCCTTGGTTGGTTGCACGTGATCTAGGTTTTGCAGACGACAGACATAGCAGCCCATGAAAGCAAGCTAAGCATCGCCCAGCAGATTGCTGCAAACTAGACTAGAAGAAGGATAGACAAGCAGAGTTTGTATAGTAGAGTACATGGGATAGGTTCTATAGTTGGAAAATTAAATAGTACTAGAAAGTACAGCCAATAGCAGTAGAAAAAGAGAAGAAGCTTGAAGAGAAGGAAGCGTGGAAGTTTGTTTAGATGGACTTGCGGCTCCATCCGTACAAGACGGCACGAAAGTCGTCGGCCGCTCGTGCCAGAGCCTGCTGGCAGACCTTTTGGGAGTGCAGTTCTGCCACGACGCGAATGGCCATGGGATCATCATTGCCCAATGCCTGCTGGACGCCTTGTTGGTCCAAGACCGCCTGAAGACGGAGCTTGCGAGCGTCCTTGCCGACCACATCGTGAAAGCAAAACTTTTCGAGGCCACGAATGCAGAGATCCTTGGGAGGACGGGGGATGCTGTCATATTGCGTGCGGGGAAGGCTGTTGCGACGCATGTACATGGAGTGCATGAAAAAGTTCTGTCTCATGTCTTGACGAAAGGCGTTGTACTCGGCACGGCTGTACCATCGTGCCTCGCAGTCGTAGTTATCATCGTTCTGAGAGATGATATCTGTTGGTTCTTGACTGGCAAAGCGAACAGACTTCTTGGTGGGTGCTGGTGGTGAGGAGGTGGACGATGATGAGGAGGAGGAAAAGTCCAAGATGGATGGAAACTCAATGAGAGAGGTCGTCGCGGAAGTGCGACGAGATCTCTTGGAAGGAGGGAAGAAGCAATCATCAGTGTCAGAGCAGGACGATCGCTTCAGGCTTCTCAGAGCCAAAAGTCGTTGTTCCAGAGCAAACGTGGACATGAGTGGATCCACAAGAGGCGGCAGCTTTCCCATGGACTCTGTGGGTGACAGGTAGTCTGTGAGAGGCATGTTGGGTTGCGCTGAAGGTGTTGATACAGAGGTAGATCCACAAGAACGTGGTACTCCAAGTTTGATGTGAGCTTGAATCATGGTGGTAGGATGTTGAACGGAGACTTGAATGCTGATCATTGTTTTGTGATGGGAATTAATAACTTAAGTTAGTTTTGTGAGATGGGAATCGAATCGAATGAGAGTTGATTTGATTTATTTTGTGAGCGAAATGTGAGCTCGGAACTTGTCCAAGTCCTCGCGTTTCATTGGGACCACGAGATCAAGAAAGATCACCGAGTTTCTTTGCTGAGACCTGCAGGTTAGGCCTGGCCTGATGGTTACAAGCGTGATGGTCGAAGTTTGTCAGGGAGGTTCGAATGGGTGCAATAATATGCCCCCAAGAAAATGTCATTCAACAGGGTTGATAAGTAAGATTGAATCAGTTGCTTCGGTGGGTCGGTGATGAAGATGAGAGCTTATGCAGCTTACGTACAGTTGAGAACACAGTAGTCAGAAACCTAGTGGCGGCTACTGTCAATTTCGTCCAAACCGCAAAGGAAGCATGGACACCATACACCAGGATGATACAACATAACACTTGAAGTCGTAAACACGATAGACGGGGAAGGAAGATTATATTGACGTAAGGAGGAGAAGGCTCACGTCTGCAGGTTGCAGGTACGGTTGCGGCGGGATCATGTTGCTTTCCACCAAGAGCCTCCAGTGTGTAAAAGTGTGCAGGGTTCGGGAGATGGCTGGACATCACGCGAATCACCAGGACTCTCCTGTCCAGCTACGAGCAGCTTCGATTTTTCTGATTCAAACGCGTGCCAGCTTTTCTGGTACACTTCTACGAGTGCTCGTGTAGAAATGTACGAAGAAGCTCGGCTCGCGTTTGAATCAATAGAAACGAAGCTGCCTGTACTCTCACTGGTTTAGAACTAGCCTTCTTATACAGTACCAGCCAGCTAGCTGGCAAGTTGCAACATAACACTGTACAAGCAATCTAGCAATCTACTCTTCTCCGGCTTACCTTGGAAGATCGTTGGAAATAAATAAATGTTAGTACGACTAATTCTCCGCTTCAGTTCCGCGATTAAGGAGGAAGTGAGAAAGCTAGTATTCCAGTACAGCTAAAAACTTTGGTTTTAACGCAAACTTGTGAGCCAGCTTTGAGCTCCTCTTGTTTATTGCCCAGTCAGAAAAAGATCTCAGAAAGTGGAACTCTTTTTATCGATTGGGACCTTTTGTTCTTTGAGGCTCTCCGTATGCAGTATTGGTGGTCGCCTTTTGGTAACCGGAGCAAACAAGCTTTATTGACTCGGAAGCCATCTAATTCGTCTTATTTCTTTCGAGTCTTATGATTTCGATAGCAAAAGATCAGCAAACCACCCGCAACAGTCCCTTAATTCCGTCGTCAGACGTTTTTGGACCATCACTTACTTGCTGGGCTCTGACTAACCTTTTGTTCTGGCAACAACAGTGGACTGTCAGTGGTCGCCGGGTTTCTTTTCTCTCCAGTAGGTAGAAGCTGGTGCCGAGCTGCAGGAGCTGAGCTACCTGTATGTGTTACCTGGTACACTGTACGTGCTCGCTAGCAGCAATAATTTATTTTGCCTCGAGTACTGCAAATTACCAGTAAGCCAGTAAGTGAAAGTGAGTGGGCAAACACGGTACTAGCTACCTGGTACGATGGTAGCTCTAGCTAGCTAGCTAGTACATGTATGTACCTGGTACCAAAATATACCACTGACACCTCGAAGTACCAGCGTCCTCGATGGTACTTTTCAGAAGACACAGAATGCCCCTTCCCAACTTCTTATTGCAATACACAGTCAGTTCCTGCTCAACGTGTCGTTGAACCTGTTTTGAAGTGGACATTTCTGACTTGCTGTGAATCACAGTTGAAGCATTCTGCGGTGGAATTGAGGCTCTTAACGCGCCGAACGCCAGTTCACAAGCGAAGGATTGTGTGTTCTTTTGCTGATCGAAGTACTCGTACAGCGAATGGCCAAAATGGATTTTTTGGATAAAACATAAAACATGTCGAAGCTGCAACAAGCTCCATCTTCTTGTTTCTAGCGGTCGTAAATGGTCTTGCCAAGGACGAGTTCAGAGTTCAGAGAGAGAGTCGTATGCTCATAAGACCAGCACACCAAACTTACTCGAGGAGTAAGCTAAACCATTCATTATTATTTGTAAAACACGGAAATGCTACAAGGGGAATCTCAAGTTCGCCTCAAATTTGGATTTAGAAGCCACTTGTCCAAGCAGACTTGGTCCAGGAGTACTTAACCATTCTGGATAACCGCCCACCTTCCCAGACAGGGAATGAAGAGATTCTACAGAACGGAGAGTATGAGTTAACAGGGAGCCGACCATAAGGGAGACTGACGGACAGGAATCCGGGAGAGCCACTCATCCTTGGATGAGGTGGTGGACCGAAGTGTCGGGTGCACAGGTGGTGTGCCTATGTGGTGTTGATGACTAGCTAGAAGGACTACTAATCGGGCGGCTACAAATCAGGTTCACTTTTTCTGAACCAGAGTTGAGCCGCCCGACACCAATTTTCCTTTTTGAATGGGGGTAATTATTGTGAGCGTCCGCAACCTGAAAAGTATCTGCTGCCCACAGTGACCGCTCCCTCCCAAATCTTACTCTGAAGAAAAAGTAAGCATGGACTTAGAGTTGATGACGCCAGCGGCGGGTCAACAGTGTGACTTCCTTAGGGTCCGGTGTCGGAGATGGCGGCGTTTTTGCCACACGGCCGAGTGGTGTGCAAGGAGATGTTTGTTCGAGCCCGATTCGTCATAAAGGTACCGTCCATGTTTGTTTAGTGACCGTGGTTTCGAGTGTAACCGGAGCCGGTCACCGAGGGGCTACTCGGTCCAACCAGGTGGGTAATTCTCTCTCTT